GGGTGTTTGGTGTGATCGATTAAAGCTGCATGAATACACCAGGTACGGGTGTTTGGTGTGATCGATTAAAGCTGCATGAATACACCAGGTACGGGTGTTTAGTGTGATCGATTAAAGCTGCATGAATACACCAGGTACGGGTGTTTAGTATGATCGATTAAAGCTGCATGAATACACCAGGTACGGGTGTTTAGTGAGGTGTTTGCACCTGAACATCTATTCATGATTTCTAATCAAAAATAATCCTTAAGTTCATAAATCCACGATTTAGTATCCAGGAAACTAAACCCAGTTCCTTTATACCGTGTCATCCTATAGAGTTTATATTGTAACCCTTTCAACACCACGCCCACACTGATCTTGAAAACCAATCATTGAGCTTCGTCTTGAGATTTTCCTGACTGATAGATATTAAAGTAATGTTAGCGTTGTGTGAGTCGTTTTTATCTGTCACTCAGATTAGTGTTGTGTGAATCGTTTTTATGTGTAACTCGGACTAGGGTTGTGTGAGTCGTTTTTATGTGTAACTCAGATTAGTGTTGTGTGAGTCGTTTTTATCTGTCACTCAGATTAGTGTTGTGTGAATCGTTTTTATGTGTAACTCAGACTAGCGTTGTGTGAGTCGTTTTTATGTGTAACTCAGATTAGTGTTGTGTGAGTCATTTTATCTGTCACTCAGACTAGCGTTTTATGAGTCGTTTTTATCTGTCGCTCAGATTAGCGTTGTGTGAGTCGTTTTTATCTGTCACTCAAATTAGTGTTGTGTGGGTCGTTTTTATGTGTCACTCAGATTAGCGTTGTGTGGGTCGTTTTTATGTGTTACTCAGATTATTGTTGTGTGGGTCGTTTTTATCTGTCACTCAGACTAGCGTTGTGTGAGTCGTTTTTATCTGTCACTCAGACTAGCGTTGTGTGAGTCGTTTTTATGTGTAACTCATACGTTCTCATAGCGTTTGCACTCAAACTTTAATGTTTAGAATTGAAATTTTCAAACTGGGCGACATCTTATGCGACACATTGTTTTAAACAGCCGGGTCAGGGACTTTTCCCACCCCACCTAGGTTCGGACATAGCCGTCCCTAATTTTGAACTACCACCCAGAGGAAGAATTGCCCGTACCAGCCGCCGCCACAAAGGCTTTCCAGCACTTTAAACCGAACAGCCGATCTCATTGTCACTTCTGTAGCGCGTTTAAACAACATAGGTCTCGAACCTTGGACCCTATAATCTGCAGTTTGCGTGGACGTAGTCCTTGTTGTTGTTGTAATATGTAATAAAACAAGAGCACACCTATCGTTCTCGTGCGATTACTACTTCAATAAACACAAGAACAAATTTATTTCGTACTTCTGATGAAGAATATTTTAGATAAAAATAAAATGTTTCTGTGCCTATTAACGCTTCTTTACTTTAGTAAAATACACTTAAGACGGAAGATGTCGCTACCATCGGTTGTTTTTTTTTTCTTGCCTATTTATTCTTTTTGTTGTGTGTGTGTGCTATATCACTTCGCTTGCAGTATCATGGCTCATATTGTAGGGCTTATGTATAAAAAAAAAAAACGAATATCGCGCCAAACGGGAACTCACGCGCAAGACTCACGAGAAATTGACTTCTTTATTTAATAACGAATGTCTTCAAAGAGGTGATCCGTGATGACGTTTTATACCGCGTCAAGAAAGTAATGACCTCCAAACAATCTTCCAATTTAACAGTATTTTTATTAATAAAATGTTAACAATCAGTAATAAAACTCCTCTGTTTCTTTTACCCTTAAGTAAAAAGCTACACAGTGCTGTGCTCACCGCAGGGATCGAACCAGATATTTGAGCGTTGTAAGCCCTCGGGCTTACCGCTAAGCCATAGGAAGTGTCAAGTTATGAACGACATTTGTGCGTGTGACGTTTTTACTGTGCCATATTCATACGTTGCTAGCATTAATTAATTAATTCAAATTAATTAATTAAAATATTAATCATTCCTATTAAATACACGTCATATTTTATAAATTAAATTGAAAGAAAAATAAAACATTGCCCATTTGTTTCCCCCAAAACGAGAGTGCCAAGCGTGACCTGTTCATCAGAGTGCCGAGTTGTAAATCAGAAGGTCCAGGTTAAGAACATTATGGGATCAAGCACGTGAATCAGACTGTTTTAGTAATTTCAGATGTGTACATGTATTGCTGTACGGTAGATTCTAACTCGTGTTGGTTTGTAGCTGAAGAAACGTACTATGTTCAATGCTAGTACGTAGCTATACACCACTCGTAACTATATATATAGTTTCATTTCTGCATGTTTTGTTTTTGCACGTATTTGGATTATATTTTAAAATATGATATATATTTGACATAGTCTGTGTATTTTATCATTGTTGTTGTATTCTGTTCTAGACATAATGAGGCCTAGCATGACCAGGTAGTTAGGGCACTGGACTCGCAATATGCGGGTCGCGGGTTTGAATCCCAGTCCCACCAAACATGTTCGCCCTTTCAGCCGTTGGGGCGTTATAATGTGACGGTCAATCCCACTATTCGTTGGTAAAAGAGTAGCCCAAGAGTTGGCGGTGGGTGGTGGTGACTAGCTGCCCTCTCTCTAGTCTTACACTGCTAAATTAGGGACGGCTAGCGCAGATAGCCCTCGTGTAGCTTTGCGCGAAATTCAAAAACAAACAAACACAATTGTTTAAAACTTAAGCATTCTTTTCATCTCCACAAACTGTGGCAAATCCGTAAATCTGTGAATTAGACTTACTTTTAGAAGCAGAAGATTATACGCTTGATTTAACGGAAGATAATCCAATATTACAAATCCTTAATCCTAACTTTTACTATACAACGCTGTAACACGCTGTCTGCTAAACCTGATAGCTAAATATATAATCCAATATTACAAATCCTTAATCCTCACTTTTACTATACAACGCCGTAACACGCTGTCTGCTAAACCTGGTAGCTAAATCTATAATCCAATATTACAAATCTCTAATCCTAACTTTTACTATACAATGCTGTAACACGCTTTCTACTAAACCAGGTAGCTAAATCGATAATCCAATGTTACAAATCCTTAATCCTAACTTTTACTATACAATGCTGTACCACGCTGTCTGCTAACCTGGTAGCTAAATCGATAATCCAATATTACAAATCTTTAATCCTAACTTTTACTATACAACGCTGTAACACGCTGTCTGCTAACCTGGTAGCTAAATCGATAATCCAATATTACAAATCTTTAATCCTAACTTTTACTATACAACGCTGTAACACGCTGTCTGCTAAGCCTGATAGCTAAATCGAGACAATGCACTTGATTAAAATGCTTGGTAATCTCTGTAAGTCCAAAACTGAGAGGATACATTTTAGATTCGTCTGACATTAGAAGATTATCCCTAATTAAAACTAAGTTATTTGTACGTTTGAAAGTTTTTTTGTTTTTTTTACAGTCTCCTGTACGAGTGTTTTTTGTTAAGCACAAAGCTATAACTTGTAGCCTACCGCGACTATCGAAACCTGATTTTTGGCGTTATAAGCCATTTCTGCATGAATTATAAAAAAAGTTTGTTAGTTTGTTTGAAGTTAAGCACAAAGCTATAACTTGTAGCCTACCGCGACTATCGAAACCTGATTTTTGGCGTTATAAGCCCTTTCTGCATGAATTAATAAAAAAAGTTTGTTAGTTTGTTTGAAGTTAAGCACAAAGCTATAACTTGTAGCCTACCGCGACTATCGAAACCTGATTTTTGGCGTTATAAGCCCTTTCTGCACGAATTAATAAAAAAAAGTTAGTTAGTTTGTTTGAAGTTAAGCACAAAGCTACACAAAAGGCTATCTGTGCTCTGCCCTACATGGTATCGAAACCCATTTTCTAACGTTGTAAGTCCGCAGACATACCGCTGTGGCACTGGGGGGAGGGGCTCATAAGAATACTTTTGTTGGCGGATGTATTTTAATGTACGATTTATATCTAGATAAGGATGAAAAATATGCATTAATTAAACATTTAGATATACAAATGTATTTATAAAACAAACTTCACTGTGCCATGTAAAATTTATACTTATCTGCACGGGATTAGGATTAGAAGCGATGTCAGAGCCGGTAAAACTGAATACATTCAGATTGTCAATAGATCTGATCAAACGGGATCTAACCAGTTGTAAATAAACCTTGTTAAAGTAAAATCTAACCAAGTTGTCAACAGAGCTGGTCGAACAGAATATAACCAGGTTGTAAACAGAACTGGTCAATCGGAATGTAACCAGCTTGTAAACAGAACTGGTCAAGCAGGTCCTAACTAACTTGTAAACAGAGCTGGTCAATCGGAATAAAACCAACTGGTCAAACAGATCCTAACTAACTTGTAAACATAGCTGGTCAATCGGAATAAAACCAACTGGTCAAACAGATCCTAACTAACTTGTAAACAGAGTTGATCAATCGGAATAAAACCAACTGGTCAAACAGATCCTAACTAAATTGTAAACAGAGCTGGTCAATCGGAATAAAACCAACTGGTCAAACAGATCCTAACTAAATTGTAAACAGAGCTGGTCAATCGGAATAAAACCAACTGGTCAAACAGATCCTAACTAACTTGTAAACAGAGCTGGTCAATCGGAATAAAACCAACTGGGCAAACAGATCCTAACTAACTTGTAAACAGAGCTGGTCAATCGGAATAAAACCAACTGGTCAAACAGATCCTAACTAACTTGTAAACAGAGCTGGTCAATCGGAATATAACGAACTTGTAAACAAGACTGGTCAAACAGGTCCTAACAGGTTGCCAAAAAGAGTTGCTTAAACGGAGATTTATCTATTCAGGTTCTAAATAGAGCTGGATTAAATAAAAATACGTCTAAATCAAAGACGGATCAACTCGAAGTTAATCAAGTAAAGATTAAAGACGAATGATTTCCAGTCGTGACGTTTTGGATAAAAAAAAAGTGTCTGAGCTATAGAATTGTCAAGAAAAAACCCGGAATGAACGTGTTCAGTAAACAGTTTTTAAAAGAAGCGCAGAAGGGATGAGTTCTATATTCAGTGCTCCCTCTATATTCCATTCGTTTACGTAAAATCACTTGTTGTTGTTTTATCTAACAAATAATCCATAATGGTGAATCAGAACGCATCATGTAAAAAACTTATTCATGCTCTCCAGACGTGGATTGCACCACTGATTAAATTGGGAGTTCACTACATGTTGGTCAAAGTTGAATAAAACTGAAATGTTGTAAATACGAAAATGTTTGGATTAAACTGCGAGTTAAATATATAATGATTAGAGTTGGATTAAACTGTGAGTTAAGTAGATAATGATTAGAGTTGGATTAAACTGTGAGTTAAGTAGATAATGATTAGAGTTGGATTAAACTGTGAGTTAAGTAGATAATGATTAGAGTTGAATTAAGCTGCGAGTTAAATATATAATGATTAGAGTTGAATTAAGCTGTGAGTTAAATATATAAGGATTAGAGTTAAATTAAGCTGCGAGTTAAATATATAATGATTAGAGTTGGATTAAACTGCGAGTTAAATATATAAGGATTAGAGTTGGATTAAACTGTTAGTTAAATATATAAGGATTAGAGTTGGATTAAGCTGTGAGTTAAATATATAAGGATTAGAGTTGGATTAAACTGCGAGTTAAGTAGATAATGATTAGAGTTGGATTAAACTGCGAGTTAAATATATAAGGATTAGAGTTGGATTAAACTGCGAGTTAAGTAGATAATGATTAGAGTTAGATTAACTGTGAGTTAAGTAAATAATGATTAGAGTTGGATTAAACTGTGAGTTAAATATATAATGATGAGAGTTGGATTAAACTGCGAGTTAAGTAGATAATGATTAGAGTTGGATTAAACTGTGAGTTAAGTAGATAATAATTAGAGTTGGATTAAACTGCGAGTTAAATATATAATGATGAGAGTTGGATTAAACTGAAAATTAACTGGTAAAGGGGAATGTTATTGGATGAACTTATGAGTAAATGTGTAATGATTAGAGTTGGATTAAATTACGAGTTAAATATATAACTATAAGTGGTGGATTAATCCTCGAATTAAATATGAAATTAAAAGTGGTGGATTAAACTTTGAGTTATATATATATATATATATATATATATATATAGTAGT